ACTTTTGTACTGATATGTATATTCTTAAACAAAACTAAAATTAAAAATATGAGAAAAGGATAAAAAATAAGAATTTGTCTTAAGAACAAATTATATTAAAATTTATAAAACTTTTTTCTTCAAAAATTGTACATATTTAATAAAGCAATTTAATTATGCTTTTAAAAATTTTATAAAAGTATAGTTGTCATACAATATTATTAGTTTCAGGTGTGCAACATAGTGATCACCATGATAAGTCTAGTAACTGAGAGTGTATAGTTTTTACAATATTATTGACTATGTTCCCTGTTCTGTACATTACATGCTTGTGGCTTATTTTATAAGTGGAAGTGTGTACCTCTTCAACCCCCATCTGACAACTATCGGTTTGTTCTCTGTATGAGTCTGTCTGTTTTGTTTGTTCTTTTATTTATTTTTTTTAGATTTCACATAAAAGTAAAATAATACTGTTTTCGTATGACTTATTTCACTTAGCATTAATACCCCCTAAGTTCATCCATGTTGTCACAAACGGCAAGACTTCATTCTGTTTTACTGCTGAGCAATATTCCATTGTATACACATATACTATCTTCTTTATCCAATTGTCTATCAACAAAAACCTAGGTTGCTTCCATATCTTGACTACTGAAAATAGGGCTTCATATATCTCTGATTGTTTTTTGTTTTCTCTGGATAAATACCCAGAAGTATGGCAGTTCTATTTTAAAGTTTTTGAGGAATCTCCATATTGTTTTTCATACTGGCTGCACCAATTTACAACAGTTCATGAGAATTCCCCTTTCTCCACATTCTCACCAACACTTATTTGTTGATTTATTGATGATAGTTATTCTGATAGGTGTCAGGTTATATCTCATTGTGGTTTTGATTTGCATTTCCCTGATGGTTGTGATTATGAGCATCTTTTTATAAGTCTAGTGGACAGCTGTATGTCCTCGTTGGAGAAATGTCTATTTAGGTCCTCTACCCTTTGTTTAATTGATTTAATTGATTCTTTGGAGTTTTGTTTTGTTTTGTTTTTCTTTTTGGAGGGAGGGCGGTTTGGCTATTGACTTATATGAGTTCCTTGCATACTAACCTCTTATCAGCTATATGTCACTTGCAAATATCTTATCTCTCATTCAGGCTGTCTTCATTTTGTTGATGGTATGCTTTATTATTTTTTAAAACCATGTGATTTGAAGGTTTGGTTTTAACTTTACTTCTTAATATTCTATTTTCTTTTCTTTCTTTCTTTTTTTTCTTTCTTTTTTTTTATAGTACTTATCACCATCAGCAAGGATTTTGTTTTGTTCCATGTTCTAGCCCCAGCATACAGAATAGTGTTTGGGCCATAGTATGTTCTTAATAAATACAATTTTTTAAAATTATAGTAATTCTTTTTTAATATGATACCATTCCTCCTCTACCCTGTGTTCAACGATCTCATATAAGTGTCTTGAAATTAGCCAACATGTGACTATTTACACCATAGAAATTGGCAAAGCTATAAATCAGGACTTGAATTGTTGTTTTTTTCCTGACTGTCTAGACCTATACAAGTGACAAAACGTTAACATTGGATTAAGCTTAAAAGTGTACATGGAATAATACAAAAATACTGAATAAATAATATTCCTGTATTTAAAAACCTATTATCATTTTCAGCAAAGTCGCCTATCATTGAAAAATGAGTGAAATCCCAACAACGTGTCTTCATGATTTCACTTTCACCTTACTTATTCCTGCACTGGAAAATATCAACCAACGTTCTTATCAGAGCTGCACTCAGAAAGCTGGTTACTCCTCAGTAACCTGCACAACACTGCCCCAGCCCATGTGAGCCTCCAAATCTGGTCCCGGCTGCCTCCCTGCCAAACACTCTCTTTGGCATCTAAGGTCTAGTCACCCTGATCTTTGTTGAGACCCCCCAAAATATGAAGATTTCCTACCTCAAGGTCTTTACCCTTGTCCTTTGGTCAGGAATTTCTTCCCATACTGACTCCTCATCATCATCCAGGTCTCAGATCAAATGTCACACAGAGAGAGAATCTCTGAGTACTCTAAAGCAGTGATCGCCAACCGGGGGTCTGTGGGCCACTGGTGGTCTGCGAGATCCAAAAGGTTGGTGACCGCTGCTCTAAAGTACTACTTCTTCCTAGTCCTTGCCCTCATTATCCTATTTTATTGGCGTCATTTTACTTTCTGCTACCTGAGGTATTTATTAATTCACTCGTCCAATGGCTGCCTCCTGTCCCTCTGAGGTTCGCTACAGCAATACCTTTATCTACCTATTCCCAGTGTAGCCTTTGCACTTGGTATGGTGCCTAAATAGGGACTAAATAGTTGCTGAGAGACCAATGAGAAACTACTGTGTCAGGTAACGATCTCAGGCTTATCACTACTACCACTTTTCCTTAAGAACAGCCAATAGATAGGGAACTTTTTAGAACCGAGATGGCGAAGGAAGCTGTGAAAAACCCCAGTGGGGAGAAATCACACCGCAGTTTTGGGCACTGCTGCCCAGAGCATCCATCCCTTCTTCCCCTTTCTCGCCCTTTCCTTCTCCTGTGCTCTCAGAGACTCAGACTGGAGAGACAAATGTAAAGCAACGGTTCTCAAAACAAAGAGAAAGGTTGAGATCAAACCTGTGAGGTTGTGAGGTTTAGGAAGCAAAGGGTAAGATGGTAGGGCACCGGTCGTTGGATGAAATCACATTTTACAGAAGTAAAATGGTGACCCTGAGCACTAGTCATGCACGCAGATGACGAAAATACTAGCACTAAGTAAGTCCACGAGGAAACTCCTCTCTTCCAGAAGCAAAGACAAATTAATCTGCGATCTTGAAAACACTTAAAAGACTTGATCATTTTCGTCCCCATTCACTGTATAACCTGCATCAAACACCACACAGATGTCAATCACGTGAAGGTAGCTGCATTGGTCGACATGTTTCTCTCTCACAGAGACCGCCGTGTGGATTAGGTGATTCAGTTGTGGTTGTATTTACTACCCAGGGCATTAGTTCGTCTCTAGTTAAATCCTGAGGGTAAAATGTACTTCAGTCCAGGGTCTACATGGAGTATGACTCCTTGGACCATCCACACAGAAGAAACATTCCTGCCCTTGGAGAGTATTTCCATATGATCTGGCCATGAGGCTAATCTGAGGAAGATGGAGTAGGAACCCTGAAATGATGACAATAACGGTACTGACCATCTCTGCTCTGCACCGTCCTAAGTTTAGGTGTATTGCTGCTAATAGTATTCGTGATGGCTTACATTAACACGTATTAACTCCTTTAATCCTGATAACAACTCTGTGAGGGAGGTTCTGTCATTATTCTCATTTTACAGTTGAGCAGAGACCCAGAAGGATTTAATCATTTATCTTAACTCATGTAGTTGATCACAGGTCAGGATTCAAATCTGAAAGGTTTGGCTCCAGAATCTATGCATTTAGCCACTCTGCAAAGCCAGACATCCCGGTGAATATCCTTGTTTTACCGATAGGGAAACTGAGCCTCAGATGTTTTAAGAAACTTGTTCATAGTCATACAACTGGCATCTGGTAGGGCAAACATTTGAACCCAGTCAGCTGGATCTCACAGCCTTTTCACCACAGGTCCACTGTGAGTTCAACCCTGAGACTTTAGACTAGGGGTGTCGAACTCAATCAGAGAAGGGGCCAAAATCTAAAATCCAGCCTAAATCGCGGGCCGAATGGTTTACTGAACAGTCATAAACTGTCATTGTGATGGAAACGCAGCGGAGTGCAGTGATGACAGCGTGGTGCGGGCCACATTGCAAGGCCTGGCGGGACGGATTTGGCCCGCGGGCCTTGTGTTTGACACATGTGCTTTAGACAGCTAGCTCGGAGCCAAGGGCACGAGGGAAATAACTGATGGTTTACAAACAGTCCCACCCTTAGGACTGCTGATTCACACAGCCCTTGTTTCTTTATAGTACAGCATCAGAGTAAGGGGTTGAGGTTTGAGAGTGAATTTGCCTATTTCACTTGATTCTAAAACAGAGGTGAGAACAGTGTTTTCATGGGGATGAAAACACTTAGCACAGTATCTGGCACAGAGTAAGGGGCTTAATACATTATCATCTTAGGTGGTTGCCAAAAGCAACTCTGACCAAAACTTGTAAATAAACTGAATCTTGCAGCCCTATATAAATATCCTTTTAAAATATGTCAAATCAAATCTCATGTTAAAATTTGCATAGGAAATTCTGTATCTGATAGGTTAATACGTTCTTAGGCAAAAACATCATGAGCCGAAACCGGTTTGGCTCAGTGGATAGAGCGTCAGCCTGCAGACTGAAAGGTCCCGGGTTCGATTCCGGTCAAGGGCATGTACCTTGGCTGCGGGCACGTCTCCAGTGGGGGGTGTGCAAGAGGCAGCTGATCGATGATTCTCTCTCATCAATGTTTCTAACTCTCTAGCCCTCTCTCTTCCTCTCTGTAAAAAATCAATAAAATATATTTAAAAAAATAAATAAAAACATCATGAGACACTTTGTAGTCCCTGAAATGTAGCAAGTAAAATACATCAATGTTAATTCAAAATGTAAAGACCTGCAAGACCAATCTATTTCAAAAATCACAAGAAAACAGAAATAGAAATATAAAATCAAGAACCACATGTCATAAAAATTAAAACGATACCTGGAACATCTTAATTAATCAAATCAGGCTCTTGTAATATTGCAGTGTTGCTGTTTTTAAGACCTAACTTTTATATTTTAAAAGTAGCAACAGAAATTCATAACAAACGTTTTATTTCCAGCTCTTCCCATTTGACAGCCCCCAAACTGTAATTTCAACAGCACCATTAAAATCTTGGGCCATAAAGAAAATATGTAATTACTTAATAAATTTAAAAGCTGTTTCCTAAGGTGTTTTGGGCCTAAGTCATTTGCCTAAGCCTTATTTTTTCTGAACATTAAATAATTAGGACATGAACGTCACACCCACGTCTTGTATCAGCTGACACTTCACAGCCATACCTTTCTTCGTTGCGTCTGGCGAGCCATCGTGCTCTTCTTTGACTGAGACTTTACAGCTCTTTATCCGACAGAAAAAGGACCGTCTGGAGCCAGAGCACACGCGAGTCCGTCTGCTATGGAAATTACTGTGAACCTGCAAACCCGCTGGCACAGGAGCAGGAGGGAGAGGCACAAGAATAGGTAGAAAGGAATACTTTTAATCAATTTTGAAATTTATCTCTAACACTTTTCTGATCATCCGTGACATTTTTTTATATATAGAAAAGAGAAATGGTCATTTAAAACAGTATCACTGTTAGTAAGGAAGTAAAACATACCAAAAATGTACTTGTCAGGCAATCATATTTTTGATAACTTACAATCTTTCAACTTATTTTTATCCCCCCCCCAAGGGGTGGAACATAAAAATCATTTTAATTGAAATGAAATTAAAAAAACAAACACATCAATTATAATAATCAGTGGCAAAGGCATCATTATTTTATATTATAAATGATTACTTGGCACTAAGCATTTTCAGAGAAGGTTAAGTATTTTCAGAGAAAATAAAGAATACCTTCAACTCCCAAGCAATATTATACATGGTGTTTCACAATGAATAGACCTAACCCATATAAGAGAATAATTCTCTCTCAGCAATAGCTGAATAGTGAAAACTTCATTTCTTGTCAAGATTCTATTAGCATACAAAAAGAATGAACATGAAGCAACCACATTTTCCTCAAGGCATCTTCATATGAATATTTATTTTTATATGAATATAGGAATTGCCTATATAATTATATTGTTTTTAAAAGTTCTAACTTTTCAAGAACACTATATAGCTGTACTTTTAAGTACTAAGTATATTTACATGAAATGGTAAGCACACTGAGATGAGCACTTACTTTTGGCATCTATTAACTTCTCTCTTGGTGAAATGTCAGAAGACAGCTGTTCCTTTACTTTGGCAACATCTTTTGGATGTAAGAAGTCAAATAAGCTCTGTCCAGTCAAACTGGCCTATACATAAAGCAGACATTCATTTAAAATCAGTACCATAATTTTCCTATCTTTCTTCTTAGACATAATGCTTTCTTTTGTTAAAGTTGTTTTTAGTTAATTTCAAAGATGCACCTACCATCCTGTATGATAGCAACAGTGTTAAAAGCAGGGTCATACCTCTAGATAGAAAAAGAAATACATGCACAGCCAGCCATAACTGGATAAACACCAACACCTCGCCACTGGTACTGTTTACTCTTATTAACTCCTGGTAACATCCCCCATTCATATATGTTACTTATAAGTCATATTATGATTTATTTTAAACGTTACCCTTGGCACCCTAGCTGGTTTGGCTCAGCGGATAGAGGGTCCTGGGTTTGATTCCTGTCAAAGGCACATGCTCAGGTTGCGCGGGCTCAATCCCCAGTAGGGGGTGGGCAAGAGGCAGCCCATCAATGATTTTCTCTCATCATTGACGTTTCTATCTCTCTCTCCCTCTCCTTTCCTCTCTGAAATCAATAAAAAAAAAATTATAAACTTTACCCTTGGTAAAAGTAAAGCAAGTATATTATAATATCATATGGAAGTCACAAAATGTGAATCTATGGTGTAGCTTAGATTTACCACACGGTTAAAAAAATTACCATACTATCAAAAGACAAAACCCAACCCGGGACACCTCCCACTTCCCATTCCACTTCTCCCATTATGCAGAGCATTCCCAGGTCTGGGTCTCTGCCCCATGGTCTCATCACCTGGAATTCATTACTCCATCTCGACAAACTCCATTCCCTGGCCCATCAGCCAATTGCCTTTGATTCCCTAGATTCCCTCTCTCGACCTAAAATCTCTTCCTCGCCTCTCTGCACATCCTAAAGCACAGTAGACATCCTACTTTGCATGAGAAACCCTCCCTGACCTTTACTTCCCAAGTACACATTCCTATAAAAGACAGAACACAATGGACCAGGCAATACAAACAGCCTGGTTTGCTTGACAGTTGACACATCATATTTTAAAAAGCTAGCAATCTGATTTACACATAGTCTATTGTGTCACTGGGTAATATAAGTCTATGCCCAGAACTCTGCTTTAGAGCAAATCAGGTTTCTGAATCTGAAAAGATGGACTAGACCCTGCACTATGGGGATCCCAAAGTCCTCCTAAGCAGATGCTGAGTCTCTTGAATAGTCTCTGAAATGCAAAGTGAGTGCCCTGTGGGGTTGGACTCTATGTCCCTATTTGGACCTTCAGTGCCCCTTGCATTATTGATTATCCTAGCATGTGTGATGTTCTCTATTTCCAATGAGAAGTCAGAATTGTCAGGCACTGCCCTGCTTCTGTGTCCCCAGCTATAACCAGCTGCATGATTCACTTGGTCCTCATTCCTCCTGAGTGCAGACTCATAATATCTTCGTTGCTGAGCTCATTATCTATGTATGCCTTATCTCTTCAAATTTCCAAGTTTTGGGGGAAGACAGGCTGACATTAATGGGAGTTATTAAGACGAAATCTTTGGGTCATGTGATTTCTAAAAGGAGACCACAGGTGCTAGTTTATTCACTCTGTTGGATTATTTTCAGTGCTGTCCTTTTTGGATAATTAGTTTAAGATAAATGGTTTTCAGCGATGGGGACATAAAGGAGTTACACAGCTAGTTAAGCAGAAAATGCATTTCAGAGTTGATTGCCAGAACTGAGATCAAAAGCGGTTATGGAAATTATTAGGTCTAGTAATAATTAATGTCGTTTTCTAATACTTTTTTAAATCGAATTTATTTAAACAATACAACAAAATTTAATCAACAATATAGTTGCCGTTGTTTTCTACTACTTGTGCCCAATGCTCAGGAAGCATTTTAATCCCTCTGATGTAAAATTCTTGTGATTTTGATGCAAAAAATTCGGTCAATGCATTTTTGAGGCATTCTTCATTATTAAATTTTTTTCCAAGAAGAAAGTTTTGCAAAGAACGAAACAAATGGTAATCGGAAGGGGCAATATCAGGAGAATATGCAGGTTGAGGGAGAACTTCCCATTCCAACTGGCGCAGTTTTTCAGCAGTGATTCTTGCAGTATGCAGTCGTGCGTTATCATGGTGAAGAATTACGCCCTTCTGATTAATCAGCGCGGGTTCTTTTTCTCTTAAAGCTTGGGCTAACCTTTCCAATTGGGCACTATGCACTGCACTTGTAATGGTTTGGTTAGATGGTAAAAGTTCATAATGAAGAATTCCTTTAAAATTCCACCAAACACACGACATCACTTTTTTCGCATGCAAGTCAGGTTTTGGCGTGGGCTGCGGAGCCTCATTTTTGTCCAACCATTGAGGCCGCCTTTTCAAATTAACATACAGCACCCATTCTTCATCTCCGGTAACAATTTGCTCTCAAAACGGCAAACGGTTTTGACGAGAGAGGAGCGAACTGCAAATTGTGACTCTTTGATTACGGTTGTTGTCGGTCAACTCATGAGGAACCCATTTTCCAAACTTTTGGACTTTGCCAAGTGCACGCAATTGATTGGAAATTATTTTTTGTGAACAATTTAAAGTTGTCGCAAGCTCTTGTTGGGTAATTTGAGGATTTTGCACCAAAAGAGCTTGAAGAGCTTCTTGATCAAAATTGGACACACGGCCTCGACCACTCTTGTCATCTAACGAAAAATTTCCCTCGCGAAATTTCTCAAACCAACGCTGGCATTTTCTGGCGCTAACTGCATCTTGACCAAGAGCACTACAGATGTTTTTTGCAGCCTCACTTGCTTTTCTTCCTAATTGGAACTCGTAAAGCATGCAGTGCCGAATATGCTCTTCATCCGCCATCTTCTTAGCCCTAGTTTTGCAACAAAAACCAAACCAAACACAAACTTTTTCAAGCAAAACTTGTTAATTGCACTTCACACGTTCTGTAGATACCACGTGTTTGAAGATTATGTCAATACAAGTCAACGCCAAGCAAGATTTTAAATGAATGTTTAAAAACGACATTAATTATTACTAGACCCGGTAGTAGCAAATAATTTGGTTCTCGGAGGAAGCAGAGAAGGGTGACTAATGTTTTTCAGACACCCAAATATGACAGCCTTTACATCCTGAGAGACAGGTATAGTCATCATTTCCACTTTTTATGGAAGAGGAAGCTGAGGCTCAGGAAAACAAAATAAGTTGCTAAAGGTCAGGAAGTGACCACTTGTCAGAAATGACAATCCATATTCACTCCACCCATCTGTGCATCTCTCCTGGAGCAAGTACTAACTCAGCAGAACCTCACCCACAGCCCAAAGGAAAAAAGAATTCAGAAAAAGAGATCTGAAATCCGTTTATTTAAAAAAACTAAACATAGTGTGGGAAATATCCTTTTTTGCATACCTGATCATAATTAAGTATTTTGGAGACTGACTTAGAAACGAAGAGAATTTTTCCTCTTTCACAACCAACCACAAACAGGAAGCCTTCTGCAGTCTAGGATAAAAAAATATAAAAGTCAATTTTTAAAATATCATTTGTATTTCTCACACACATCCTTTCTGAGGAAACTGCTGTAGCAATAAAACCAACAGAGTGGGCATAAATGTAGTAAAATTAATTTTAAGAAATTTTCTTAAGATATATACAAATTATAAAGAAATATCACCTTGGACCCCTGTCTAAATTAATGTTTTTTTTCTACATGAGAAGTTCAGGGAATATTTAGTTAAAAATTTCATAATGTAAAAATTACCTATCCCAAATTCCACACTACTGCAAACAGAAACTCTGTAGAGATACCAATCAGTAACAGCTGCCTGTGGATGTGTGGAGGTGGAAAGATGTGCAGACTGGAACGAGGAAGGCATGGAAATATTTTACTATTTATACATCTTGAATAATGATAAGCTATCAATCAAAACTAAGTTGTTTGTTTTTTAAATATATTTTATTGATTTTTTACAGAGAGGAAGAGAGAGGGATAGAGAGTTAGAAACATCGATGAGAGAGAATCATCGATCAGCTGCCTCCTGCACAACCCCTTACCGGGGATGAGCCCGCAACCAGGGAACATGCCCTTGACTGGAATCGAACCTGGGACCTTTCAGTCTGCAGGCCAACGCTCTATCCACCGAGCCAAACCAGTTTTGGCCAAAACTAAGTTTTAAAAATTCTAATAGATGGCAACTTCCATAAGCTATACCCAGTAAATCCCCTGTGAAGCAGTCTTGGAAATGGATATGTGTGGACAGAGAGTGAGTCTAGCACTCCCACCTGACATTTCTTAAACAAATGTTTACCAACTGGAAACAAACATGGCGTGAATTAGGCAGATGTGTTCCGGGGGTTATATTAAGTTATGGCTTAAAAAAAAAACACATGGGGAAATTGGGTAGACACATGCAAAAGAATGAAACTAGATCACCAACTTACACCATTCACAAAAATAAACTCAAAATGGATACAGGACTTAAACATCAGACGGGAAACCATAAAAATACTAGAAGCATCCTCAGGCAGCAAAATCTCAGACATATGCCAAAAGAACTTCTTCACTGATACTGCCCCTAGGGCAATGGAAGCTAAAAAGAAAATAAACAAATGGGACTACATCAAAATAAAAAGCTTTTTTACAGCAAAAGAAACCATCAACAAAACAACAAGAAAGCCCACGGTGTGGGAGAACATATTTGCAAATAACACCACTGATAAAGGTTTAATCTCTAACATCTACAGACAGCTGATACAACTAAATAAAAGGAAGATGAATGATCCAATTAAGAAATGGGCAAGGGACCTAAATAGAATATTTTCAAAAGAAGACAGAAGGAAGGCCAAAAGGCACATGAAAACATGCTCAAAGTCACTAATTATACGAGAGATGCAAATCAAAACAACAATGCAGTACCATCTCACACCTGTCAGAATGGCCAACATCAACAAATCGACAAACGACAAGTGTTGGCGAGGTTGCAGAGAAAAAGGAACCCTCGTGCACTGCTGGTGGGAATGCAGACTGGTGCAACCACTGTGGAGAACAGTGTGGAGTTTCCTCAAAAAACTGAAAATGGAACTCCCATTTGACCCAGTAATCCCACTCCTAGGAATATATCCCAAGAAACTAGAAACACCAATCAGAAAGGATATATGCACCCCTATGTTCATAGCAGCACAATCTACAATAGCCAGAATTTGGAAACAGCCTAGGTGCCCGTCAGCAGATGATTGAATCCAAAAACTATGGTACATCTACACAATGGAATACTATGCTGCCATAAAGAAGAAGGAATTCTCATCATTTGCAGCAACCTGGATGGAATTGGAGAACATCATGCTGAGTGAAATAAGCCAATCAATGAAAGAGAAACACCACATGACCTCACTCATTGTGGATAATAAAGAGCATTATAAACTGATGAACCAAAAGATAGATATAGAGACAGTAAAGCAACAAGCAGATTGTCAAATTACAGCGGGGAGGGGAGGAGGATCTGGGGGAGATAATAGATCAACCGAAGGACTTGTATACATGCATATAAGTACAACCAATGGACATAAAACTATGGGGAGGGAGGGGATATGGGGGAGGAAGGGAGGGGGGTAAAAAAAAATCATTAAAATATGTAAAAAAAAAAAAAAAAAAAAAAACACAAAAATTGGTGAGAAAGCTTCCAAAGCGTATTATATATTTCACTGTCTTTAAAAATACTTTTGTTGTCTGTAAAAAATTCATTTTATTCCTATAAGGAATATTATATTTAAATTCAGCAGTTCAAAAAGAGGGACATGAGTCTTTTTGTTTCATCAAACTACAGGTTAAAGCCTAGTAGTCACAGCACAAGATCAAGACACTTAGCCCTGGGGACAGGATGAGCCAAGGACGTAGTCATGTTTTCCATGTCCAATAAACCGGTGAATAGACCGGTGGATCCGAAAACCCATGCCAAAAAACCCATCCGAAAAAGCATGGCCTAACAGCTCAGTTAGTTAGCAGTGGCTAGCTAATGGGCAGAGAACAGGATCCTGAAGGAATAGCATACAAGACAGACGGCTCTGTAGGAGGTACCGGTGAGGAATAGATCCTGAGAGTTTCTAACTCTCTATCCCTCTCTCTTCCTCTCTGTAAAAAATCAATAAAAAATATATATATTAAAAAAAAGACAAGCCTTGCTTCATATTTTAGGAAGCGCCTCGCTTCCCTCTCTACTTTCACTAGCCCAAACCAATAAGACACGGTTATTTGTGTAAGTTAAATTTTATACTAAAGGAAGTTTGGTGTAATGTAGAGTCCTGTATGTTTGCAACAGAAAGCAAACTAGAGAAAACCTGCCTCCCATTTAAATAGAAAGGAAAGGGCAAATACAACTTAGGCAAATGTATTTCTTGACTTACCTTAAGGACTAGGTGTCTGAGCTCATTATCCTGAATAAATGAAGGTCGGTAAATATCTCCTGCATAAGAATTTGTCATACCTAAAAATAAGTAGTCAAAAAGTTACTAAAAATATAGTAGGGTTGGGTTAGGTATGTAGTAGGTACTCAATGAACATTGGCGATGGTTGTCACTGGTGAGAACTTTCTCTTTCAGCGCATCCTGAGACCTCTTCTGTTATCATTCTCTTTCTTTATTACTAGATTAAAAATTCCTGCATTTAGAATGTTAATTCTTGGAACTACTATTCCTTTATAGATTCAAATGTGCAGATAGTAAGAGCATCATGTAAAAGAAAAGTCAAGTAATACATCATCTTTAACATTATAATAGGTAACAATATTCAAAAATCTAGTTATTTTTATATCTTAGCTTAAAACTAATCTCATATGAACTATCTTGAATGGGGTGATTCTGGAATTCTAAACAAATGTCATAGATTCATAGGATTTTGCATATGACCCTTTAAAGATCACATGATGACTTCTGTTATTATACAGTAATATACATATATAACAAATTTCTGCTAATATAAGTAAAATAATTCCTTTTACATCCTTAGCACAGAGCTTATTGTATTATAATGAAATTCTCTAAAGCAACTGAAGAGCTAATGAGGAATTATCAGCTCAAAACAGGAATACTTGAGGACATCCTACACTGACACAGGAAAGCCCTTCATGGCCACAAGGGGGCGCAAGAGACAGCCCACAAAGGCAAGGTGTGCTGTCCCCAGATAACTCTGAGCGAGGGTGATTCCCAGGTAAATCAATGCTCTCTCCTTTATACTTCCCAACCTCCTTACCTCCAAACCCCTCCTTCTGAGGACTGCAAGGGAAGTTGCTTTTGCAAGAGAAATTTTAGCCATAAATTAACTCTTGAATGGATTTACAGTCCAAACTTACCAATTACCTAAGTGGTGGAAAGAAAACAAAGGCAGAAAATAAAAAACACCTCATATTATGACTTGGTAAAGTTCTCTCAGACTGGTAGCACCCCTGAGAATCTGGCATAAGCAAAAGAAAACCTTTTCTTCTGGAATATTCCTTCTAGGTAGGCCTCAAAGAATTCAGTAAGTGATTTTTTTGTTACTACTGCACAGCAGCCAGAGAGCAGAGCACTGAGAAAGGGCTAAAAGGTTCAGACTCTGAGTGCTATGCTACGATTCAGCCATAAATCAACCTGAGCAAGGCAGTGACATTTCCAGGCCTGGCCCGAAGCAGACGTGTGCCAGGGAAACTCTGATGGTGTAAACCACCAGGAAGGGGCGAGCCCTGGCTAGGTGAGTGAACTAGTGAGTGAGTACGAGCTAAGGAGAAACAGAGGGAGTCAGAGCAGAGCTGGAACCAGGGTGAGGCGAGTTAATAAAACGCATGCTGTAATATGCTGTACACCTGCCAAACATGGGCAGGTAACAAATATGATCAATTTCTGATATCAAAAACTAACGAGGAAACAAATCACTTACTTTTGTTACAATGTTCATCATGTTAAAAAAAAAAAAGTCAACATGACAAAAATAATAATGATCATTAAAACGAGAATGATCATCATAATGACAACTAGAGACTCGATGCACAAAATTCGTGCAAGGGGCTCCACCCTCACAGCCGTGGCTTTGTCCAGGTCATTCAGATGGTAGTTCTGCTGTTTGGTCTAATTAGCATATTAGCTCTTTATTATATAGGAAAATGATCAAAATACCAACTATTTCTTCTCCTCCTCTTACCACCACTTCCACTGTTAGTAGACACTGTGCTCACTATATATATGCGTTATTCTTTACTCAACAATCCTATGAGACAAATGCATTATCCCTGTTTTACAGTTATGGAAGTTGAGGATTAGAAAGGTAAGTCACATAGCTATTAAGTCAGGGAGCCAGGATTTGAACCCTGGAGGTTTGCCTCCAGGACCCACAGGCATGCACTACCGGCCCAGGTATTAAGACCACACCCACGGAATGTCCACAGGTTCTCCAAGAGCATAGGCTGCAAGCAGGGCTACTCCAGGTGTGGCCTAGAGACCAATGTCATCGGTCAACTGTGGTGAGACGAGTACAGAAATTAAGAATAAGCATTTAGACGCCATTACAGAGATAATGTTCATGGCACCCCAGCCCATGAACATTTTCCCAATAACCAGCTGTGTTATATTTTACAAGGGATGGGGGTGGGGAACACGTGGCCTTCACCCAGATCGTTTGAGAAGTATTGCTGTATGTAGAGTGTAGTAAAAAAAAAAAAAAAAAAATATATATATATATATATATATATATATATATATACACACACACACACACACACACACACACACACACATTTACATTTCACCATCCTTCTTTCTTTAAGGTGATTATGTACAAACCAAAATAAGATGATCCACACCAGCCTCTGATGAACCAGTGTCTCTGGTCGGGGTGAGTTGGGGTGCACTCACTCTGGTAAGTGTGCTGGAATGCAGACACCTGCTCTTAGTCCTCTCGCTGTGGCTCACTCGAGACATCCTCACTTTGGCTCCGAAGGGCCACTGGTGAAATCTATGCTCTGTTCCAGAATCCTCTCTCAGTGTAGACAACTTCTCCTGCCTACTCTCCTCTCACTCATTCCTCCACTGAAACATTTATGCCATCAGATTTTACTGATCTCTTCACAGGTCCAAGTCCCTCCACCAGCCATGAACAACCCTTCAAGCACGGAGATCTTACCTCAGTCAACTTCCTATCCCCAGCACAGAACAGGAGCCTCGTCAGTAATCAGCTGGTTGAATTAACTGACTCATGGCTTCTCCCTGAGGTCCTCCTCCCTCGGGACATTGCAAATGTGAAAATTGTTGGGAAATTTTAGGTTTGCAACCAAATGACCTCAGTTGAGCCTGCAAACGTTCGTTGCTAAAAGATTTAAGGGAAATATTGCATGCAATTTACACAAGACCTAATAGTAGGTAAAAGAGAATCTTACGTATGTCATTTCACAACAGACTTGTGAAAATAAGCCTGCCAGTCATGCTCCCAACAGGAAGCCCGCCAGGCATATCCCAGCACTTGAGCTGCTCTGTGTGGCACTGACAGGACCAAGGGCTGCGCTTCCTCGTCCCCCAGGCCTCCCCTCCAGATCTGCACAGAGTCCTGGGCGGGGAGGGGGGGTGAGGGGGGTGCATGTACCATTTTTCTACCATATGTGGAGATTTAAGGAAGATGATTTAAAGTATCTATTTTTACAACCTGCACAAGTTACTATTAAACAGGCCATTAATAGTTGTCTGTAATCTTACTTCCTAATTTGTATATGCTCGCCCTCCCTACCTCAGTCAATGAGAATGGATTTGCCAGGTTTTTTTTGTTTATTATGAAGTAAGATCCTCTCTGGGCTCCAGTTTTCACTGGAAGTCTAGGTTAACACTGTTTTCCCCTAAGACTCTTGGCCAAATCCCTCTAAACAGATTTTCCTATTCCTGGAATGCAATGTAGGAGGACAAAGATCTAATTAAGAACCTTGGTCATCCTTTGCTTATTCCCTTTCTACAATTTTTTGGGGAGATGTTTTGTTTTTGATTGTTTTTTTTTGTTTTGTTTTGTTTTGTTTCTTGGCTCAAAAAAGAACCAAATGTCACCATAATCTTTTAGATCTGACAAATGGGAACTTCCAGAGTCTCCTCTGTGGCCTGTAGCTCACTCCTCTTCTACGTCCTCTCAAAATCAATTTGTGTCGTTAACATTCCCGTATCTAAAACTCATTTCCATCATACTGCCCCTCCCCCAAGTTGGCCTGGGGTTACTCTCAAACTCGATGTGATTTTGACCACATACGCGTGTGCACACACACACAAACACTTCAATTTAAAATTCAAGGTCAAGTTGGGGAGCTGCTTGGGTCAGAAATGACCTTGTAAACCCAAGAAGCAATAGCTAAGGATCGCCTTCATCCGATGTCTAATACCAGTAAGGACCCCTTAGGAGAAGAAGGTGTAATGCATTTTAAGGTACTACTGGTTATAAATCTGAAGTTTTAAGAGAAATTGGCTGAATTTAAGAAGATTTTCTTTTCGAAGAATGGAAATCTGCCAATAATTTAAAACTATAATAATACATTTCAGAACTTTTAAAATACGGAGAGGCACCTAGGGCAGGCATTGCTATCTTTGCATTACATACATAGGAAAACAAGTAGAAATGTAAAGAATTTTCAAAGTCACACACATAGCTGAAGATAATGCCTTTAGCAGGACCAAGTTTCCTGACACCCAAATTAGCATCGTCTCCACATACAGTACATGGTCAAGCATCAGATTAATGTCTCCAAAGCTGAACGATACCTTTGCATAGCATCTCAACAGCCAATAGCAAGAAGCCAGACCCAGCAGAGACCTCCGTGACAGGGAGGATGTCCCAAAGCCAGGTGTGGAGGCAACGTTCTAACTCACCTTTCAGAGACTTCAAGTGCTGAACGGCCATTCTTAAAACGGTCAGCTTGTCCAGCTTCCGTGCCAAGGGCTTGCACTGGGGAATCATCGCAGACAGTTCCTCAATCAGGTTGTTCATTTTATCTCTCCTCCGCTTTTCAGTTTTGCTGTGAGCTTCTCTAAGAAGGAAAAGTACCTCCTTTACATTTCACATTCAGCAGCCCCATGGTGACCCAGGAGCGCGAGCCAGAGCCTGTGTGGAGGCAGCAAGTCCACACCGTTCTCCCCTCCCACGGCCCTGCAGGTGCTGCCTGGGAAGGAGGAGGAGCTGTTGGGAACGGGAAGCACACATGAAATTCACAGCACTCTCCACCTCAGCCACTGCCCTTGCTCCTTCCTTACCCTACTTATATCCTGACACCTTCAAGAACTAAGACATTTGTCTGAGAGGCATGATGGGTGGTATTCTTGCTCCCCTCCAGTCTTTTTTTTTTTTTTTTTACCGAGAGGAAGAGAGATGGAAAGAGGGATAGAGAGTTAGAAACATCGATGGGAAAGAAACATCGATCAGCTGCCTCTTGCACACCCCCCTGCCTGCAACCAAGGTACATGCCCTTGACTAGAATCGAACCTGGGACCTTTCAGTCCGCAGGCTGATGCTCTATCCACTAAGCCAAACCGGTTTCGGCTTCCCTCCAGTCTTAAAGGAAGATGGGTTGCCTTCTATTCAAAGCTCACTCCTCTGTGATATTCCCTTAGGCCAGTGGTCGGCAACCTGCGGCTCGTGAGCCACATGTGGCTCTTTGGTCCCTTAAGTGTGGCTCTTCCACAAAATACCATGGCCTGGGAGAATCTACTTGGAAGAAGTGGCGTTAGAAGTTTAAAAAAAATTGGCTCTCAAAAGAAATTTCAATCGTTGTACTGTTGATATTTGGCTCTATTGACTAATGAGTTTGCCAACCACTGGCTTAGCAGTTATCAGCATTGTAACCTCATTCTCTTCCATAGCTCTTTCTTGGGGGTCTATAATGTGCTCCAATCTCTGCCCTCTGCACACACCTTCCCCTTGTTGCAGGGTTGTTTCCTTGCTACTGTCTTCTTCTCAGCCAGCTTCATAAAGGTGCACAGTCTCCACTCAATCTCTCATTTCCCAGGCACTTCTCCAGATATTAAAAGTGAACCTTCCATAATCCCCGCTCCACTGAAACTATTCTAGCAAGGGAAGATTCCTTGGGCCACCCTTATCTTGTGCGATCTCTTGAACTTGTCACTGCTTACATTCGTCATTCTTCACCTGGCTTCATGACCTCTCCAGCACCTCCAGCCTCCCTGCTCGGCTCAGTCCCTTCGTCTCTCTACCCCACACATTCGTCTATCTTTAAACCCTGATTTCTCCAAAGATTTCCTACTTGGCACCACTCTTTTCTCACCCTATAGCTTTACCCTAAGAGATCTCATTCCCTCATAGCTACTCATAAGCTACTTACTTTTAAATGTTTATTTGTTACCCAGTTCCTGACTTTTTAAAAATGTATCTTAATTGTTAAAAGTTATACAGATGAACTTTTTCTCTCATTGACTCCTTCTAGCCTACCCTCTCCCTTCATCCCACATGTCATGCATATATATATATATATATATATATATATATATATATCCCTAATATGCAAATAGACCGAACTGCAGAACCACCAAACAACTGAACAACCAGCCGCTATGATGTGCACTAACCACCAGGGAGCGCACACAGAACATGGTGGGCGTTGGCCACGGCAGGATGGTGGAGCAGGTGAGTTCGGGCAGCAGACCAGGACGCTGGTTGCTATCATTAGGGAGAGCCTCTGGTGGTTACTGGATCCCACCTGGCACTTACACCTGCTGCAGACACTAGTCCCACTGACACCCACTGGTGGCACTGGAAATGCTGTTTGCACCCGCAGCCGGTGCCCGGTGCCAGCCCCAATCGCTCAGTGCCTTCAGCAGGTGCAAGCAATGGCTGCCAGCCCAAGTTGCCCATCAGGGCTTCTTCATCTCCCCCTGCTCCTGAGGGGCAATTGGGGCTGGCAGCCACCTCTCACATCCGCAGCCAGTGCCGGTCTCCACTCACACCATTGCCAGCACCTGGCACGAGTTCCAATTACTTGGTGCCATCAGCGGGTGCAAGCTGTGGCTGCCAGCCCAAGTTGCCCCTCAGGGCTTCTTCACCTCCCCCTGCTCCTGAGGGGCAATCAGGGCTGGCAGCCACCTCTCACACCAGCAGCCAGCGCCAGAGTCTCCACTCACACCCAATGCCAGCACCTGGCACCAGTTCCGATCACTTAGCGCCATCAGTGGCTTCGAGCTGCGGCTGTCGGCCCCAATCACCCCGAGAGCTTCTCCACCTCTCCCTACTTTGGTTAATCTCTTTGGTTAATTTCTTCCCACCCATTCACCCACCTCCACCTCCTGCCTTCCCTCTGAGATTCATCAGTTTATTTTGTTTAGATTTCACATATGAGTGAGATCATGTGGTACTTGACTTTCTCTGACTTATTTTGCTTAGCATAATACTCTCCAGGTCCCTCTGTGCTGCCTCAAATGGTAAAATATCCTTTTTTACTGCTGCATATATTCCATGGTGTAAATGTACCACAGCTTTTTATTTACTCATCTACTGATGGACACTTATGATAGCTCATGGCACTAACCCAGAAAGCCTTTTCAACTCATGTTCCTTCTTCTAGTGTTTTCCCTTTCTAGTCTATCCTGCCCACTACTTCCCGAATTATTACTTCTAAACAAATCAAACCAGCTAATCCCATTGCATAAAACTGCCAAAATGCATTTCTCTACTGCCCAAGGATGGCCAAACTCCCTAATGACACCCCAAATTTCTCCATCCTCTGCCTCATCCTTTCAAGTCATTTCACCTCTCCCTGACTTTTCCCTACAACTCCAAATGTCATACAGCAGCATGCCCAATGACCTGCACTCCTCAAACATACCGCCTCCCCTCATGTCTTCTCTATGCCTTGCTCTTTCCTAGGCTTAGAAAGTCTTTCCCTTCTATATCCCTGGGAAAAAGCTACTCCTTTTTCAAAGCCCAGCTCAGGTAGCCTTCTGGGAAGCGTTCTTTGACTACTGTACAATTTATCACTTCCCTCTCAGCTACCTCAGTGGTTTTGGTTTTTTTTGTGTTTTTTTTTTTTTACAGAGAGGAAGGGAGAGGGATAGAGAGCTAGAAACATCGATGAGAGAAAAACATTGATTAGCTGCCTCCTGCACATCCCCCACTGGTGATGTGCCTGCAACCAGCCCTTGACCAGAATCGAACCTGGGACCCTTCAGTCTGCAGGCAGACGCTCTATCCCCTGAGCCAAACCAGTTTTAGCTACCTCAGTACTTTTTACGCCACTACTATATGCATCAAATCTAAGCCACAATCAATTGTAAGATGCACTAATATTTAATGTATTACAAGGAGACAGAGAAATGCTGCCAATTTAATAAGAAAATACCAATGATGATAAGACATTTTTCACAGATTATAAAAGGTAGGGGGAACTGTACATCTTAGATTTCACTAATTAGGCTATTTTACTCTTCATATTTAACTGTAAACATCTGTCTGTTTCTCCTCCAACACTCAGACTACGACTTGTATGTAAAGTTTAGTGGAAACAACCTAATGGGAAAGAAGATAAGTAGGAGACCTGCCTTGATCTATTTTTATAGGAACTTTAAAATACATAAAAGGAACTGTAATTTTTCTACATGGAAGTAGGGAGAAGCACTGATGGAGACAGATGGAGCTAAACTCCCCCACCTCCCCCCAACCATTCATTCTTGGGCAATGCCACTCCTGAAACAAAATACGTACTTTTGGGTAAACGGGATGGAATGTGAATTATATGTGTGTTTGCATACAATTTAGATATCTACTCATACTTTGGCTTATTCATGAGAAATTTTTAGTTAAAATTCTATGATTAAAAGAATGTGATAGTTACCCTCTTGCTAAAATGGTCACCTCTTCTTTCTACCAGTATTTCCCATCAGAACAGACAGCAGTAACAGCAAGAGATGCCTCATTCCAGGAGTATACAGCAAAGGAAGGATGTTATGCTCTCTCTCAGGGAGGGTTTTGAGGAAGGTGAGAGCAAGGCCACTGAAGAGAGCAATGAAGGATAATGGTGGAAGCTAGGAAACTCAGAGAAAGGCGAAATAGCCAGTTTTTTAGTAAGGTAGGTAGATTAGTTGGAGATTTTATTAAAGAAAGGCATATGGCCAAAACCAGTTTGGCTCAGTGGATAGAGTGTTGGTCTGCGGACTGAAAGGTCCCAGGTTCGATTCCGGTCAAGGGCATGTACATTGATTGCGGGCACATCCCTTGTGCAGGGTGCAGGAGGCAGCTGGTCGATGTTTCTCTCTCATCAACGTTTCTGGCTCTCTATCCCTCTCCCTTCCTCTCTGTGAAAAATCAATAAAATATATTTTTTTTAAAAGACATATGTATCCAAAGGCTAGTTTCTGCTTAATAATTTATCAGGGCTCTGGTTCTTAATCCTGTATACTGTTATTGCCATTCTGAATCATGTCAGTGTCTGGGAAGAATTATATCAATAAAACAGAATCAATGGAGAAAAGGCAAAGCTGAGATCTGGCCATGCTGCCACATATAGAAAAAAAAAAATGTTGTTGATGTTGAAACAATTGACAAAAAATTCATGATGATAGATTCCTAATCAGATGTGTGTTGTAATTCCGATTTGTTTACAGCAAGAATCAGTTTTCTCCAGTGCTGAAAAATACTAGTTCTTAATAAACAGCTACTCTAAAAAAATTCAAAGATACATAAAGCCAAAATGTTATTCAAACAGAAAAGAAAGGTAAGAGGTTGCTGATAATCACTACCTCTTACAGCATAAGGTGAGAAAACCCTAATATTTATGAATCCATTCTCCTGACATCACCTTCGGTTTTGGCTAAAGGTGTGCATGGGTGGACCATCTATACAGTTCAGTGCCGCTGAAGGGCTTCATTTTTACTTGTTGACCATCTTCCATTCTACAAAAAGCAGGATACAACTCCATGAAACAGCTTTTCAGTAATTCTTGAGGAATAAAGAGGAGATTAAGTCCAATCAACCTAATTTCCTATTAAGTCTTTAGTAACAGATACTATCATATGCTCCTAATGACCTGAAATGATTTTCACTGTTACGTGAGCTGCTCTATGAAAGCCAAGAAGCACATCTTCTCTGTCAGGGTTACAACGACGTTAACTGACAACAAAAACTGGTGCCCTAGTTAAAAATTATCCTATGCCAATATATTAAGAATATAATTTTATAGAAATAAAGTTATTCTTTTTAAACCAATGGATGGCTTAACCAAAAATTTTATTGTAGCTGCATTAGAATAGCCTGAAAATGTATTGAAAGCCTCAGACCTTTAATCAAAAGGAATTTGTTTTGCCTAAAAATTCATCTGAATAAGAAATATTGAAAACTGAAAAACTTTGATCACTTGCCAATAATATTATCACATTAATATATTATGCTAGGAAATATACTATATGTACATATATGTGTATAAATATTTATATCTAAATATGCATACACGTGTTTGTATTAATTTAGAAATTTAGTCACCAGACCACTACCAAAGTGAAATACACTAAGGGTGATAGAATACTTCCCACATTAACAAATTATTTCCAAATGTGTTATTTTTCTGAAGGGGCATTTGAAAATTCAGGAAAAGCCCCCATAATCTCATCTGGAAATAATCAGTTAATATTAATGGGTCTCCTTCCAATCTCTTTTTAAACATTTATTTAAATACATTTAAAAAAAAGAAAGAAAAAAAAAAAGAATGGCCCAAACTGGTTTGGCTCAGTGGATAGAGCATTGGCCTACGGACTGAAGGGTCCCAGGTTCGATTCCGGTCAAGGGCATTGTATCTGGGTTGTGGGCACATCCCCAGTGGGAGGTGTGCAGAAGGCAGGTGATCGATGATTCTCTCTCATTGATGTTTCTAACTCTATTTCTATCCCTTCCTCTCTGTAAAAAATCAATATATTTTCTTAAAAAGAAGAAGAATGCAAGCTTCCCTGAAAACTACTTCCATTGCATGTTTAATAAAATGGAGGCCTGCTCCCTGAACCAACCTCAGACAATGAAATTGAAGGCAAATACAATCAAAACATTCTCCAGATTTGCCACTTTTCCTACCTTCTTCTTTTTGAAACTTTCTTCCTTTGGTTTCTGAGATACCACTCCCACTATAGGGCCAGGTCTTCTCACATTTTGGGTGAGATTCCCCTTCTTTCTTTGCTGTATTTAGGCTCGGTACCAGAGTATACACTAGAATCCTCAGCCCCCGAGAGGCTGTGCCCATGCCAATCACCACACCTGCTTTCTGTGCATTCGTGGTGTCTGACTCTCCCAACCGCAACCCTCATATCCAACCGACTACTTGAAGATCCCATAAACGTTGCATTATCATTGTGTCCAAAATGGAATTCTTCGTCTTTCCCTCCACTTCATGGAATGATACCATCATCCATCCGTCCAAGTCAGAAAACTCAGACACTTCTTATTTTCCTACTCTCCCTAACAATCATAATATCTAAAAAGATTCCATCTTTAAAATGTGTCATAATATGTCCCTTTCTGTCCATGGCCACGCTCTCAATACCTAATTCCTAGTAAAAGTTTCTCAGCTGGTTCTTCTACCTGCTGGGTTTTCCTCCTTTAGCCCATCCTCCAGGCTGTTTCCAGTGATCTTTTGAAAAGGGGTCACCTACTAGGATAGCTTTTTGTTTTGTTTTTTAATGGAAAGTAACAAGTGTCAGCGAGAATGTGGAGAAAGGGGATCTTTGTATATCGCTGGTGGGAATGTAAAATGGGTTAGCCACTGTGGGAAACAGTGTGGTGGTTTCTCAAACACTAAATATAAAATTACCATACAACCAAGAGTTCTACTCCTAGGTATGTACCCAAAAGAATTGAAAGCAGATGCTTGTACACCAATGTTCTTGAAAGCATTGTTCACAATAGTAAAAAGATGGAAACAACCCCAATGTCCATCATCAGATGAATGGATAAACAAAATCTGATATATATGCTAACAATATAATATTATTCAACCATTAAAAAGAAATAAATTTGAAAACATTAGGCTAAGTGAAATAAGCCAGTCACAAAGAGACAAATATACTACTATATAATTCTACTTATATGAAATATCTAGAATGGGCAAATTCATAGAGCTAGAAGGTAGGCTAGAGATTACCAGGGACTGGGGGAAAAGGGGCATGGAGAATTATTATTTAAATAGAGGCTTGGTGCAGGAAATTTGTGCATGGGCTGTGTGTCCCTCAGCCCAGCCTGCACCTCTCTAATCTGGAACCCCTTGAGGGATGCCTGACTGCCTGTTTAGGCCCGATCCAGGTAGGTCATCCCTCTCACAATCGAGGACTGCTGGCTCCCAACTGCTTGTTTGCCTGCCTTCCTGATTGCTCCTAACCACTTCTGCCTGTCAACCTGATTACCCCCTAAGCACTCCCTGCCAGCCTATTTGCCCCTAACTGCCCTCTCCTGCAGGCCTGGTTACCTCTAACTGCCCTCCCCTGCAGGTCTGATCACCCCTAACTGCCAACCCCGCAGACCTAGTCCTCCCCAACTGCTCTCCCCTGCAGGCCTGGGTCCTCCCCAACTGCCCTTCCCTGAAGGCCCAGTTGCTCCCAATTTCCCTCCTCTACTGTCCCAGTCACTCCTAACTGCCCTCCCCTGCAGGCTTAATTGTCTACAACTGCCCTCCCTTGCAGGCCAGACCCCTCCCAATTGCCCTCCCCTGCTGGCCTGATTTCCCACAACTGCCCTTTCTTGCAGACTTGGTCCCTCCCAACTGCCCTCCCCTGCTGGCCATCTTGTGGCGGCCATCTTGTGTCCACATGGGGAACAGACATCTTGTGTGTTGGACTGATGGTCAATTTGCATATTATCCTTTTATTAGATAGGATTAGATAGGATAGAGGCCTGGTGCACGTGTGGGGGCCATCTGGTTTGCCCTGAAGGGTGTCCTGGATCAGGGTAGGGGTTCCCTTGGGGATTGGGGCGGTCTGGATGAGGGGCCTGCGATGGTTTGCAGGCCAGCCACACCCCCCAGTGACCCAAGCTGAGATCCTACTATCTGGGATTCATTTATTTTCTATAATTGAAACTTTGTAGCCTTGAGCAGAATCAAGCCTCCTGCTTTCTCCGTGGCTGCCTCCATTTTTGTTGGGATTTATCTTCTATAATTAAAACTTTATAGCCTTGAGCAGAGGCCTGGGACCACCAGGGCAGGCAGAAAGCTTGGCTTTCTCCATTGCCAGGGGCAACCCAAGCCTCCTGCTCTCTCCATGGCTGCAGCCATCTTGATTGGGTCAATTTGCATACTCACTCCTAATTGGCTGATGGGTGTGGCTTGTGAGTGTGGCAGAGGTGTGGTCTATTTGCATATTACTCTTGTATTAGATAGGAAGGGTACAGAGTTTCAGACTGAGATGATGAAAAAGTTTTAGAAATAGACAATGCTGACAGTTGAACATTAAGTGGGACTAATGCAACTGAATTGTACACTAAATGATTAAATGATAAATTTTATGTTAAATATTTTACTACAATAAATTTTACTGCAATAAAAAAGTTTTTAAAGTACAAAGGCAAGAAATTTTAAGAAGTGTAATTGGAAGAAAAGTTCTCACGTTTAAAAATCCTTCCATTTTTCTTAACCACATTCAAGACAATTTTGAGATTCTTTTGTTCAATGACCTTCAGAATCTAATTCACATTTATTCCTCAAGTCATAGCTCACCCTCCTCCACATGCACCCTCTGCTCTATGTGACAACCACTTGTTTCCAGATCAGCAGTGTGCTTTCCAAGCATCTTCTCTACTCCTGCTCCGAATTGCTTATTCCCATTATTCATTTAAAATGTAGTGTATCTCAACATCTCTAGAAAGCTGTCCTTCATTCCTGATCCCAGTGTTATTTAAATCCCCAACTTTCTTTGTTGCCATAATACCTAGGATCTCTAGTATAGAGGTTCTTATGATGCGTAATAATTCTTTGTACATTTTCCATTTGTACAAGTTTCTGGGGTCTTATCAGTATCTCTTCCTCCTAGTCTATTATACTAGGTGTCACATATTAGGTACTCAATAAATGCATAATGACTACATTCCAGGGAATCTTCATCAATAACCCCGTTCAAAGAACCAATTTTCCATTCAAAACCAACAGAGGAGAAAGGATAAACGTTCTTAAACATTCTTCTTTGTTTACAAATATCTAATATTCTGAGGCTCCCTCGACGAAATCAATTTCATATCTATTGACTGGTTTTCATGCCCTGAGTCTAGGAAGGATGCCACATAAATGATGAGTAAAGTGAGAAGCAAATTAGGAAGACAAGTCTTTCGCTGTGACCATAAACATTAAACAAATTAACCTTAGGTTGTTTTCTTCCCGACTCCACTTGTCCCTCCTGAATATCTAATAACCTTCAGATCTGGACTGAAAAGTGCGAGTTCAGTCAATGACAGAGGTGGCAGTTGGATGGATAAATAATTGCCCCTATCCAAATGCTACCACATCTAATAAATGAAATTAATGTTTTAAAAAGTAATCTTGTTCTTTTTTGTCCCTAGAATCAAAGACTTAATGGGGTTAAAGGAACAAAGTACTTACTGGGATAGATCCAAATCACTTTCTTTTCGTTTTCTTGGGAACTCTCTCACGTGTGGGCTGAAGGATCCAACCGTTATTGGTTTTGCCCATGTGCTCATATGATTGGAAACCATCGGAGCAATGAACTGGTTGTCTTCTATCCATACATTACCTATGAGAGGTCAAAAGATAAAGCACAATCCTATATAATAAAAGGCTAATATGCAAATAGATTGAACAGCAGAATGACTGGTTGCTATGATGAGCACTGACCACCATAGGGCGGACGCTCAATGCAGGAGCTTCCCCCTGGTGGTCAGTGCACTCCCACAGAAGTGCCACTCAAAGAGAAGCCGGACTCATGGCTGGCGAGCACAGCGGTGGTGGTGGGAGCCTCTCCCACCTTTGTGGCAGCACTAAGGATGTCCAACTGAGGACTTATGCCCGCTCTCCTCCACCCCCACCCCCCAGACAATCCCCAAGGGCTCCCAGATTGTGAGAAGGTGCAGGCCAGGCTGAGAACCCCCCCCCCCCCCACACACACACACACACAAATTTTGTGCACCGGGCCACTACTAAAATATAAAAAGATAAAAGCACAATAAGATACCCAATTTTAAATGTTAACTTTTACTTTATATATATCCATATCACACATTTTAAATGGTTTTTTTTCTGTCTTAAAAATATCAACTAAACAACATAGCATAGAAAGAATAATTGTGTACATGTAAATATTAGAAATGTATTTGTTAGTCCAGACTTTTAAATTTATTTTCTCAATCTAATTGCTAAAATAATAATAATAATAATAATAATAATAATAATATTGAAGAAAACATAGAAAACACAAAGAAAGTAGAAAGGAAGGGGGAATACCAAATTTCACAAACCAATGTTACTATTTAGAGATTTCCTTTTAGAATATCCCTATAGTTATCAATAAAGTAATTGAAAGCATCATGTATACTGTTTTATTTATTCATCATTGTGATAACTTTACATTGTTGTTATAAATTCTTTATAAAATTATTGTAATGGCTGCATAATACACCATCATGTAGATAGCTTCTTAACTACTCTGCTGCTGTGAGAATATGTGTTTTTTTATTTTTCACCATCACAAATATGTATTGTGGCACATAAAGCTTTTAATCTACTGGTTATTTCTTTTGAAAAGCTTCTCAGAAATGACTTGACAGGGTCAAGGGACAAGAATATTTTAAACCCTAAATCAATAAATATGACAGTAAAACCCTTTTTGTCTAAAGTGTGCTTTTGTCTAAAGTGTGTTTTCGCCGAAACCGGTTTGGCTCAGTGGTAGAGCATTGGTCTGCGGACTGAAGGGTCCCAGGTTCGATTCCGGTCAGGGGCATGTACATTGGTTGTGGGCACATCCCCGGTAGGGGGTGTGCAGGAGGCAGCTGGTCAATGTTTCTCTCTCATCGATGTTTCTAGCTCTCTATCCCTCTCTCCTCCTCTCTGTAAAAAATCAATAAAATATATTTTAAAAAATAAATAAATAAAATGTGTTTTCTTACATGTTTTATAAAATATAAAAATCAGAATCACTAGCTAAAAATAACCTATAGCCCAAATATGAGCATCCTTCACATATTAAAATGCATATAACAAGTTTAAACTCATTTGTATCCTGAATTATATGTTGAAAACATATCAGCAATATTTTATAAGGAGAATGTAATCAATCTATAACAGTGGGAGAGTTTTAATATATCCTTATCAGTAACTGATAGTTTGAGCATTCAAGAAAAATGACATAAAACATCTAATCCACATAATGAACAAGCTTGATATAATAAACACACAGAGGCTATTCTAAATCCCATGTTGTTTTAGAGTACCCATAAAGCATTTATAAAAATTGACAGTATACTGGACCAAAACAAAGTAAATCTCAACAATTTCAAAAGATTGATATTATACATAAAATATTTTCAGACTACAGTGTAATTATCAGATAGCAGTAATAAGTAGAAAAAAACTTACATCATATAAAATTAAGAAATACATAATTAACTCTTGGGACCAGAAAGAATTCCATGTAAAATTGTAAAATGTTTTGAACTAAATAATAAAAAATCATACATGAAAACATGTAGAGACAGTGAAAGCACTATTTAGAGGGAAATTTTAACCCTAAATATTTTTTTAAAAAAAGAAAGGCTAACTGTTCTCAAAACAGCCTGGTACTGGCACAAGAACAGACATATAGATCAATGGAATAGAATCGAGAACCCAGATATCAACACAAATCACTATGCTCAACTAATATTTGACAAAGGAGGCACGAATATACAATGGAGTCAAGACAGTTTCTTCAGTAAATGGTGTTGGGAAAATTGGATAGACACAGGCAAAAGAATGAAACTAGATCACCAACTTACACCATTCACAAAAATAAACTCAAAATGGATACAGGACTTAAACATCAGACGGGAAACCATAAAAATACTAGAAGCATCCACAGGCAGCAAAATCTGACATATGCCAAAAGAACTTCTTCACTGATACTGCCCCTAGGGCAATGGAAGCTAAAGAGAAAATAAACAAATGGGACTACATCAAATTAAAAAGCTTTTTTACAGCAAAAGAAACCATCAACAAAACAACAAGAAAGCCCAGGGTGTGGGAGAACATATTTGCAAATAATACCACTGATAAAGGCTTAATCTCCAACATTTACAGACAGCTTATACAACTAAATAAAAGGAAGATGAATGATCCAATTAAAAAATGGGCAATGGACCTAAATAGAACATTTTCAAAAGAAGACAGAAGGAAGGCCAAAAGGCACATGAAAACATGCTCAAAGTCACTAATTGTCCGAGAGATGCAAATCAAAACAACAATGCGGTACCATCTCACACCTGTCAGAATGGCCAACATCATCAAATCAACAAACAACAAGTGTTGGTGAGGTTGCGGAGAAAAAGGAACCCTCGTGCACTGCTGGTGGGAATGCAGACTGGTGCAACCACTGTGGAGAACAGTGTGGAGTTTCCTCAAAAAAATGAAAATGGAACTCCCATTTGACCCAGTAATCCCACTTCTAGGAATATATCCCAAGAAACTAGAAACACCAATCAGAAAGGATATATGCACCCCTATGTTCATAGCAGCACAATCTACAATAGCCAGAATTTGGAAACAGCCTAGGTGCCCGTCAGCAGATGATTGGATCTAAAAACTATGGTACATCTACACAATGGAATACTATGCTGCCATAAAAAAGAAAGAATTCTCATCATTTGCAGCAACCTGGATGGAATTGGAGAACATCATGCTGAGTGAAATAAGCCAATCAATGAAAGAGAAACACCACATGACCTCACTCATTTGTGGATAATAAAGAACATTATAAACTGATGAACCAAAATATAGATATAGAGACAGTAAATCAACAAGCAGACTGTCAAATTACAGTGGGGAGGGGAGGAAGATCTGGGGGAGATAATAGATCAACTGAAGGACTTTTATACATGCATATAAGTACAACCAATGGACATAAAACTCTGGGGCGGGAGGGGATGTGTGGGAGGGAGGGAGGGGGGCAAAAAAAATCAATAAAATATATTAAAAAAAGAAAGGCTAAAATGTAATGAGCTAATAACTTCAGAAATTAGAAATAGATTAGTAAATTAAATTCAAAGAACTAGGAGAAAGGAAATTAAAATAACACCAGAAATAAATAGAAATACAAGCAAGTATGTATCAAAATAGCTAAACGTATTCTTCTAAAGATAGGAAAATCTAATAACTCTATGACAAGATTTTTCAAGAGAAAATGAGGGTATAAACAAATAGAAATAAGCATGGAGTCATAATTTTAGATGACCTAGAGATTTGAAAAAAAATAAGTCTCATGAACATTATTCTAAAGGTTGAAAATTTTAAAAATTGCCAGAGAATTTTAACTATAACAACAAAACTGAAGCAAAAAAAATAAAAAACTTGCTCTGGCCTGGTAGCTCAGTTAGTTAGAGCCGTGATTGGCAAACTGCGGCTCGGGAGCCACATGCAGCTCTTTGGCCCCTTGAGTGTGGCTCTTCCACAAAATACCACGGCTTAGGTGAGTCTATTTTGAAGAAGTGGTGTTAGAAGAAGTTTAAATCTAAAAAATTTGGCTCTCAAAAGAAATTTTAATCATTGTACTGTTGGTATTTGGCTCTGTTGACTAATGAGTTTGCCCACCACTGGGTTAGAGCATCATCCCGATAGCCAAGGTTGTGGGTTCAATCTCCAGTCACAACCAATGAATGCATTGATAAATGGAACAACAAACCGATGTGTCTCTCTTTCCTCTCTTAATCTCCTCTCCCAACCCCTAACACTCTTTTTTACAAAGCTTATATAATTTTGATATTAAAATCTATCTCATTTATGAACAGATACAAAAATCTTAACAAAATATCAGCAAACAAAATTCATAAATATATAAGAACAATAACCCATCATGACCAAGATAGCTTTATCCCAGGAATGCAAGCCTGGTTTAATATTATTAAATGTTGATCAAAAGGCAACGTAAAGAGAATGAAACTACAAGTCATATATTTTTATATATTTTTATATACATGTAAACAGCAAAGAGCTAATATCTAGAGCACATAAACAACGCCTTTAATATAATGAACAACCAATAGAAAACTGAATAAAAGATTTTAATGGGCACTCCAAAAGAGAAATTCCAACTATCAATATACAAATGAAAATATCTCCAATCTCATTACTAATTCAGGAAGACCCAAAGTAATAGTGGTACTACTACTGTGTTTCCCCGAAAATAAGACCTAGCACATGGAAAGATAAGACATCCCCTGAAAATAAGACCTAGCACAACTATGGGAGAAAAAATTAATATAATACACTGTCTTATTTTCGGGGAAACAGGGTACATACCCATCTGATCGGCTACAATTGAATGTTGATAACAAATGTGAGGATGTGGAGTAATGGGGAAATCACGCTATGCTGGTGGGACTGTAAACTGCTACCACCACTTTGGAAACCTATTTCTGCATTTCCTAAGATGGGTGAACACATGCACACAACATTTTTCAGCATTCCACTGCTAGGTACTTGGAGAAATTCTTAATATATCTTAGGAGACATGTACAAGAAATGTATTAACAGCACTGCTTATAACTG